CACATCTTTGTTTCAACATGCCAATGCTTAGACACCAATCCAATAAAGCAGGAGAGAAAAAAATCCAGACGGCAAGGCCATTTATAGCACTATGTGGAAAGGACTGCCCAGTCCTGTGTCTGGACTTACCATGCTTGTATAGCTGCGACGGTCCAGGGAGCATGCAAGAAGCAAGATCTGTTAAGCAATACGTCACTGGACCAACTTTACAATCAGAAGAAATATTAAGCAAGCTTGCAGGAACAAAATATCCTTCCTTGGGTCACAGAACTTTTTGTGCATCTAACACAGCGATTCTCAACCGTTCTAAACTCGAGGCATCTGTGGACAGACTCGAGGCACCCACTGGTACCTCTTTTTGCCTACCGAAAAATAACAAAGCAGTTTTTCTATTGCAAACAACTCAAAAAGACCAGAACTCTGGACTCCTATTTGAAATCTCTAGGTTTATCTTGTGAATCATGTTTGTCCACCTAATAGTGCTAACATTGTGTGGCATCCTGCAGCACCCCTGAAAGGATTTCAAAGCACCCCGGGGTGCTGTGGCACCCTGATTGAGAATCATCAGTCTAGCATCTCTCCCAACCATACGCTGGTCCAACAAAAGATACCATCAAACAAGGCTTAACAGTAACGGAGACTGTGAAAGAACAGCAGAGTTGCCCCAAATGCATCCTGAACACACCCTTGAAGCATGGGAAGGCCGGCTTTCTCACGACACCAGGCACGCAAGGAAAGAGATCAGTCAGATGAACGTGGCAGAGCCCACGCACGCTTGCACGGTAAGCAAAAATACATTGAGATGACTACAGATGGACTAGACCATATAAAAAGCCCCAACAGTGAGGACTACTGAAGTACGTTACTACCCATTTTCAAGCTCCCTTTTTCTTTCTTCTGAAAAATAATACATCTTCTTGATTGAACAGAAACACGTCTTCATGCCGTTGCATGCAAATAACATCTAGTATGCAAATAACTTCACAGGCGTAAAATTATCCCTGGAAGGTACTTCCACGCAGTCTGGTAACAGCGTAGAGCTGACTAAGCCTTTTTTCCATAACGCTTCAGAAAAACACTGCACCAACTCTGCCCTCCGAAAGCTGATATTCTCATTTTAGGCCACACGACCTTCTAGCCTGGCTCTTCCATGAGCCAAACATTTCTGTCCTGGTCACTGACCCCGCTAGCGGTCGTGATGGGATGCAGGAGGACTCCGACAGACAGACAGGCTGACTAGATGCCAAGCTTTCTACCCTGCCTGTATAAATCCCGACACTAAAGAGAAACCTGCAAGACTGTTGGATAAGGCAGATGGGAAAAGTGCAGGGTTAAAGGAAGCTCTTTGCTCACTGGGTTGCAAAGAGAGCCTCTGAACCAAACTGTGCCCCCACCCCGCAAAGGGAGCAACGATCCCCGAAGGGGCCTGACAATAAAGGCTCTCTGCTGTTTCTCAGAGAGAGAAGTGAACTGGATTTCTCACGACACCAAAAACCATCATGTCAGCAGGGAGTGAACTGGGAGGAAGTGCTGGTGAAGGGAAAAGTTCTTTAGTCGCCGTCTCTGGAGCTACTAAACGTAGCTATTACTCCTGTATGAGAGGGCGAGAGAAGAGGATCCTCTCAGGGATATGGTAGTTATATTGTACTTTAAAAAAAATGCCTCACTTTGTGCCACTGAAGACAACTGCATAGTGGTCTCCTGTTGTATGCTTAGACACCAAGGAGGTTCTGGTCCCACCCAGGGTTACAGGATACTAGACACCAGTAAGGACAGCAAGAACAGCATCGAAGCCATTTATTTATTTGCATTACATTAAGGGTGCTCAGCCTCCGGCCCCCAGAGCCTTAGGATCTGGCCCATGCAGCTCCTCAAAGGTTGGGAAATTAAGTGGCGGGGGACCAGTGGCAGTTAATACTGCCATCCCTCCACACGGCCAAAATCCCAAGCCCTGAGCCATGGGTTGGGGTAAGGCCACAACCCTCCCCCCCACACACCCAGATAGGGCTGAGCCATGCCCTTCCCCCTTCCCAGCTGGTTCAGGGCCAGGCCATGCCCCCTTTCCCCCATGCAATCCCTTCCACTCATGCAGCTGGGTTAGGGTCAGGCCAAGCCCCCTTCCCCGGCACAGCTATATCAGGCCAGGCTACCCCCTGCACGAGCCCAGACGGAGCCCCCCTGTGCCTGCCCTGGCAGCCAGACTGGGTCCACTGGCCGGATCCAGCCCACCGAGGGACCAAGCACTGCCTTTTCGGCACACTGGACAAAAAGGTTGAGCACCACTGCATTACACAGTTGAGAACGCAGCTTTGCCAACGTACTGCCTAGGTTCTGGTTGCTTAACCTGCACAGGCATCATTAATGTTGCGGGCGTGCGTGTGGAATCAGACAGTTCTGAAAAAGGAAAGAAAAGGAACGAGAAAAAAAAGCAGATTCATCCTCCAGGTCTTTAAAGCCTTACTGACCTGCAGCTGACTGGGAATCGCGCCAGAAAATTCCACAGTGCGAGCTGTTGGCTGGATGCTACCATAAATGCCCCGTCAGCTGTACCAGGAGGAAGAGGCTCCCCTGCAGATTTCAGGCACTCACGGTGCATAGGAAGGGCACCTTATGCACCTCCTCTACTGTCCATTAGCACTGACCTGAATTCCTCGCAAGTGAAACTTGTGCCAGGGGCTCCCTCCCTTGCAGCCCAATCCTCGGGCTGCACGACTTTAGCCGACTTTTCTCCATGCAGCTAAGCCAAACAGGCAAGACTGATGAAACCTGTTGCCTGCATGTTACAAGCACACAAAAAAAGCTCCTCCTGGATGTACTGCATGAATGAGGCCTGTGATTTTCAAACATGCGCAACTCCAATTAAAAACATTTTTCCCAGAATAAGACACGACCACAACTCTATCGAGGCAAGTTTCACTTTCCGGCTATTTCAAGCTCAGGGTGAATATAGAGAAAGAGATAGACAGCCTACCTACCCTGTCACCATTTTGAATGTATTTTCTGCTGTTCCCAAAAAATGATAAAAAATAACTATATCATTACATCCTGTGTAGGTAAAAATAAGGGGGCAGACTGGAAACACAAGCACCCTTTACTAGTGGCCACTTCTCCTATTACAATGTCACAAACCAACAATACTTACAGCTACTTGAGTATTACTTGGTTAATGGTACTCACAATTATACCCTCACTTAAAAAAAGAGTGCATTGGGAATATCCTGCAAAGAGATATTGCAAAACAGAGTATTTGGAGAACTCTAAACCAGAGTTCCTGGCACCAAAAAAAGCCCAGAAAATAACTGCAAAAACCTTCTGGAAGAAATGCAGCATTTGGCCAAGGAGCCGTACAGTT